CTCCGTCGTTATTATTTATTTTTTTTTTTCCTCGTCAGATGTGACGTGGAATGCTTAAATGTTTCTCTCTGTGGGAATTACATCTTTCTGGACAAAGGAAATACTGAATCGCGCATGTGCGTGTGATATTTTGTTTACTAAAACCAAAAAGTAGCAGAATACTGTTAAAGAAGAAGAGTGTGTAAATTTAGGCATCCCTTCAAAACGTAAGAAATGTAATGATGCAAGCGTGACAGGTTAAGTAAGTGTAATATGACAGGCAGGAAGAAAAAACCCAAATGATTCTCAGGAAGACGCTTCATGGAACACAAATTCTATGAAGCATTGAATTGAAGATAGTGTTCTTTTTCCACGACTATAATTTATACCTGCAACTTATATAAAGAATGTAGAAGCTTGTATTATCTGTCCCGGTAAATACGTGAATACTTGCAGTAGGTTCATTATTCTCTCAACGTTGTATTTTATGATAACAACACTAATGTGTCAATATCATTCACGTTAGGAATTTTTTATTTTTTTTTTCAAGAAAAGGGATTTAAATTTACCAGTGCCAATGCACTCTGTTACAGTGTGAGATTCCAGGGGTACTTTAGGTAGCCGAGCTCGATAGATCAATCAAAGATGCACATTACGTACCATATATTTTAGTTTTAAAAGGCTAAAGGGAAATACTAACTTGAACCATAAAACTGAAGTTGGCTATGTAAAATAGATATGATACTAATCTTCAGCTGATAAACTGATCCTGTCCCTATGAATTCTGCATCTGCAACCATTTTAGATTAAGTATCTCCGTGTGTACTAAATAATTGCAACTGTGCTCTGAGTATGTTGCCATAATGGACATCCCTTTTTATTTTCTTAAAATTTGTGTGACTTTTTTATCCTTACTAACATTTCACTACAAAATAACACTGAGGAATTTCTGTTGTATGCCATTCTCGTGCCTATTACAATTCACTTTGCCCAGGATTGTAGCACTCTGTTGTAATTAAAAAATATAAACTCTTAAGTACCACAGAACTTGTTCACTGGACGCTCTTGACTAGTTTAAAAGCCTTTAAGTAATTTACAAGATAAGAGTATTTTAATATGGGTATATAATAATAAGGGTATTTTTTAATCCCTAAGAAATTTTCACTTTTCATTACAGATTTCATCAAGTACATTTGCTTCCTTTTTGCAGCTTCTCGTTCTTTAAAATTTTACTTTTTTTTTTCTTTTTAGAATGATGTGGTGTTTACCTTTCTTCTTCTTTTTTCTTTTTCTTCCAATTTTCCCTTTTTTTTTTTTTTTATTTATTTTATTTTTTTCCCCCTCCAGTAGCTCTTTCTCCAGGACATCCCCCTTTTAAGCAAACCTGAGCGTTTCGGTAAATGCAGGGCTGTGATTTAAAAAAAAAAAACAACCCAGTAGCTTGTTTTATTTCTTGCCCTCCCAGCGCTGTGGGGAGGGAGGCATCGCCAGGGCAGAACATTTCCAGCAGCAGAAGGGACAGAAATACTGGATGCTACAAGAAAAGAAGCTCTTTTGAATATTTTCACTTGGAAACTTTGCCTGGGAAATCCCGCCTTCCCCGGGGAGGGGGGGGGGGAAGGA